AAAAGGAAGGAGGGTTGAAAAAACATGTCGGAGACTACAATAGTGCTCATGCACAAAACTTGTCAAGATCTCATGAACCGGAAGCAACGTATAGATACTAATATATGTAAAAGCTTCTCAACAAGAAAAAATTGACTATCGCCTCTGCTTGAGAACAACGGTTAGAGCTATCATGTTTCTTTTACGTCAAGGAAGCTCCTTTCATGGCCACGACGAATCGAAAAATCCTTGAACAAAGAATGGCTTCTTGAACTTCTAAAATATACAGCTATGTGTAGAGAATATATTAATAAAGTTGTGTTGGCAAATGCTCTAGAAAATAATGAATTGAGTTCACCAACGATTCAGAAAGATGTTACCAATCCTCATGCCTATTTAACAACGAAAACTATCATTGAAGATATTAATGATGATTTGTTTGCTTTGTTAGTTGATGAGTCTCGTGATGTATCAACTAAAGAACAAATGCCTATTGTTTTACGTTATGGACAAAAGTGGAACTATCGTTGAGCGTTTTATTACACTTGTCCATGTTACGTCGACATTAAAAGTAGCCATTGGGTCCTTTTTTCCACATGGATTGAGATTGTCAAATGTTTGAGGACTAGGATATGATGGAGGTAGCACTATGGGAGGAGAATTCAATGGTCATAAGGCATTAATATTAGGAAAAAATGAATCTGTTGGGAAAAACAAGAATAAAAACATTCCAAAAATAAGCAGAACAAACTACACATGAATGAATGAAAAAGGAAGAGAGTTAAGAACACCATTACAGCTTAACTTAAAGTTCGAGATACTTTACATAAATACCAAATTACCCTCTAAACAGAGGATTGGCTCTATTAAACACCTCGACTACAACTTCAGTTCGCTAGAATCTTCAATACTAACATCTTATAGAATTGCAAAAGAAGACAAGAGGAGAATTTATTTTTGTTTTCTATGTATTTTAAAATATATAGAGGAAGCCTTTTTATAAGGTTCATGTGAGCTAAAGGGTTAAACAAAGCTTTGAATGCTAGTCACTGCAACGTTTACAATAACTATCATTCAAACCTTGTAACGTTTGTAACATATGAAATGGGTTCAGGCTGGTTAAAACACAGCACATGCAAAAGGAGCATGCGTTAGTGCACGCGCTGAATAACACGAGCGAACCGTGCACACGAACCCACACACTCGTGCCCGCACGCACATGCCTGCTCACTTATATACCAACACAAACGTATAATTCTAACGCCTTTGTTGTACCATATATAACACGTATGTTAATTTGAACCAACTAAAATGCATTCAATTAGTCAATATGGAACTAAAACTCACATATTACTAATTAAACATATTTTAATTTTTAACTATGGAATCCAACCATATAAATGGTATCTGTCCATAAAAAAGCATCCATTATTCATTTATATCAACAGAATCGGCTTTCTATGTTCATTGTGTTGCTCATCAACTTCAATTGATACTCGTAGGAGTTGCAAAGAAGCATGACTCACTGAATGAGTTCTTTGAGCATATTGCAAGGATAATAAATATTGTCCAAGGCTCATGCAAGCCTCAAGATCTTATTCGAGAGGAACAACTTTAAAAAGTAATTGATGGCATTTGTGGAGGTGACATCAAGATGGGACGAGCTTTGAATCAAGAAGCAAACTTGAAACGGTCAGAAGACACATGTTGGGGTTCACATTATGGCACAATTATGTGTTTGCTTCATTTATTTTCATTGGTGATTGATGTGATAGAGGTCATATCCATGGAAGGAAATCGTGATACACAAAGGTATGAAGCAAAAGGCATCTTACATAGGTAGTTTAATTTTGAGTTTGTATTTTCGTGTCATTTGATGAAAAGTATTTTGGGAATTACAAATAACTTGTCACAAGCATTACAAAGGAGAGATCAAGACCTTATCAATGCTATGAATCTTGTCAATGTAGTTAAGCAAAGGTTGTAAAAAGCGAGAGAAGATGGTTGGAGTGAATTGTCGAAAGCGACTTGTGACTTTTTTAATTTGCATGAGACAGCAATTCCAAATATGGAAGATAAATTTGTGGTTGGTAGACCAAAGCGTAGAGTTCAAATGCCGACAAATTTCATCACTATCAAGTTGAATTGTTCACTGGGGGTTATTGGTTGAGACAAATTAAGTGGGAAAATTGTTCAAATGGAACAATTTTATCCTTTTAGGATATTTTAAGTGGAGCAAAGTAGGATAAAGTGAGATAATGAGATAATTTGAGCATTTGATTTGATAATTTATGTGGGATAATTGATGATTTGGCACTTTATTAAAATATAATTTTATCTATTAATTACTTCTAAATTAACTTATCCAATTGGTTTAGTATATTATTATAATATAAACATTATTTTACTTTATATTAAAATATAATATGTTGTACTGTAATTACTAATTAATATTATTAATTATTATATTACATTATATTATATTAGCATGCTATACTATATGATAATTAATATAAAATAAGATCAATATATTTAATATAATATTTTAATAATATAATATTTAATGTAATACATTTTTTATTTATACATAAATATAATATGTTATACTATAATTACTAATTAATATTATTAATTATTATATTATATTACATTAGTATCCTACATTATATAATAATTGATATAATATATGAATAATATATTTAATGCAATACTTTAATAATATATTATTTAATTTAATATATTATAATATAGTATCATAGGATATAATGTACTGTATAAAATATTATAATATTTTACTTTATATATATAATAACTATAATAATATTTAATATAATATATTATATAATAATATATGTTATTAAAATATAATATAATATTATAATAAATATATTATACTATAATTACTATTATATAATATTATTAATATATGTTATTAAAATATTAATATATATATATAAATAATATATTATCCAATATTATCAATGTAATATTAATCTTTCTTGTTATATAATATATTTAATATATAATAATATATGTTATTAATAATGTTATTAAAAATATTATATAATATATATATGTTATTTATTCAAAAATATAGTATGTTATACTATAATTACTACTTATTTTATATTAAAATATAATATGTTGTACTGTAATTACTAATATAAAATTATTACTACTCTTATATTATATTAGCATGCTATACTATATATAATTATAATATAATATAAGATCAATATATTTAATATACTATTTTAATAATATAATATATTATTTTATTTATACAAAAGTATAATATGTTATACTATAATTACTAATTAATATTATTAATTATTATATTATATTACATTAGTATCCTACATATATAATAATTGATATAATATATGAATAGTGTATTTAAATGTAATACTTTAATAATATATTATTTAATTAATATATTATAATATAGTATCATAGGATATGATGTAGCTGTATAAATATTTAATATTTAATTTATATATAATAACTATAATAATATTTAATATAATTATAAATAATTATAATAATAATATATGTTATTAAAATATTATATATATGTTATTAAAATATTAATATATATTATTATATAATATTATTAATATATGTTATTAAATTATGTTATTAAAATATTATATAATAATATATGTTATTTATACAAAAATATAATATGTTATAGTATATTTACTAATTAATATTATATAATAATATATTATATAATAATATATATTATTAAAATATTATATAATATTATAATAAATATGTTGTACTATTATATAATATTAGTATGTGATATTACATAATAATATATAATAACTATCATAAAATCAATTATACATACGAATTAAACTAAATAATATTTTATTTTATTACATGATAATATAATTTAATATATTGAATATATTATTACTTTATACTTTATATATCATGTCATATATTTATAATATAATTAGCATGTATTAGTTTAAGTAATACAAAAAGGTTTAAAAATTATCCCAATTGCCTTCAAAGTGGAACAAAATTGTTCCAATATGGAGGATGTGGTAAATTTTTACTATTGGGACTATATTTTTGTATATGAGTAGGGTAATTTTATCCTAAGTGGTGAAATTGTCTCACTAGTGTTCTAAAAAACCAATAACATAAAAAGGTATTATCCTTGTTCTATTGTCCCAATGAATAACACTATGAAATAGAATCCCCAAATTATCTCATTATCGCACCAAATGTCCCAATGAATAACCCCCCCTAAGTCTATAGATTTTTATCTTCAAGAGTTGAACAGTCGTTTTAATGATCATAATGTGGAGTTGCTTTCTTGTGTGGCATGTCTTGAACCAAGTAACTTATTCTCATCGATTGATAAGGAAAAATTGATTCGATTAGCCGAGTTTTATCACAGAGATTTTTCTGAATTAGATTGCATGGAGCTTAGTGGTCAGCTTTGAAACTACAATTTTTTATGTAACTACTCATCATGAATTTTGTGAAATTGAAGGGATTGGTAAGCTTGCTAATAAGTTGGTTGAATCGAAGATAGATACATTATATCCTTTGGTGTACAAGTTGGTGAAGTTAGCACTAATCTTACCGGTTGCGACAGCAAGTGTTGAAAGAGCATTTTCGGCAATGATTAAGAATGGTCTTCAAAACTGATAGGTAGATGAGTATATGAATGATTGTTTGGTGTCTTATATTGAAAATGATATATTTCCTAAAATTGATGATGATGATGATGTTATGAAACAATTTCAAGAAATAAAGCCAAGAAGAATGCTTTTGTAATACTATATTATTATTGGAAATATGATTTTGGAAGCCTTACGTAATGATGTTAAGAATGTATTCCCACAGCCAAAATTCCTGGTTCCGCCACTGATTTTAGAGCACTTAAGGGGAAGTCTTTTTTAGTGAGGGTATATAAGTACTACCAAAAACGATTGCGGGTATACAAGTGCAGCATAGGGGAAGCAAAAGGGTATTTAAGTACAATTAAGCCTTTAGAAAATGAATACAAATCTTGGTCGTTATAATAAAATTAGACGCTTGACTATTTTGCATGTATCGTCTTAGCTGAATTTATACTTCTAGTTCCGACTTCAGCAATACAGGATGATACATCGGAAACCAACTAGAGAAAGACAAAGGCACCAAAATACAATTCTAAGTAAAAGTGGGGGAAAGCCTACAATCTGATTATTAACCGCACTAAAAAGTTACCATCTACTGATACAATTAAAATTAAAATTAATTAAAAATGAGAAGATTTCCATATCTTCCTCTTTTTCTTCTATCCCAGAATCCGGCAGCAGCAAAATGGAACAAGGTATTGGCTCCCTACTTCAGCTTGAGGTCAATGTTTCGATGGATCCAGAAACAAACTGCAGTGAGACGGTGAGCAGTAAGCAGACCATTTTCCGCTGCATTCACTAGCTCAATCAAAACAAGATGCATCATAATTAAATCCCAAAAGCAGTGAAAATCAGCTGATATTTTATCTTCGTCCTCGTCATCATCTCCACTTGTCGGCATCTCGTCATCTCCACTTGTCGGCATCTCCGCCGTAGAAATTAAGAGAGATGAGCAGACACCCCTTTATGCCACTACCGCCTTAGCTTCTGTTTCTTCCTCATCCTTTCTCTTCTCTCTTCTTCCTCAATGAGTCGAAGCTGCTCTTCATCCTCCTTTCGAGCAATCTTCGCACTGTTCAAAAAAATAATTATATAGACTTCTCATTAGAATGGCAGCAAGAAAAATGACCCAATTAAACACCGAATACTCTTAACACAAGAAACTCCTCCTTAGTTATTCACGGTGCCCATTGAATAAAGAAGAAATAATGATTAATAAAAGAAGAAAATATATATGACATAGATACCTTCTCCTCTCTTCCTTCTGGATTTCCCTAAAATCAGCTTCCATGTCGCTAACATCATCATCAACTGCCGCATATTTATTAGGATCATACCTGAATACCAAAACATAAATATCATGAGCCTAATGTTTTTGGCCAATTAACACGTCACCAAATGTTAACATGCGCAAACACAAATGGCACAAAGAATTCTTGGCTCATAAGAAATTTTGCAATAGCAGCTCAAATAGTAATCTACAAGAATGCAGTTACAACTGTTTGTTTTCTTACGACTGCAGTTGCAAAAAGAGATCATTGATCAAGGGTCAATTTTTGTAAGCACTCACAATAGAAACTTTAGCAATGAAGCAAACAACTGCAGCTAGCTTTTGCAAGTGTCAACAGCATTTGCAATTGCAAATTGTTACAAACCAAATACTTTCAACTAAGTAACCGCTGTTGCCCATGAAACAACAGAAAACTTTCCGTTTTTGTCTGCACAATCACCTTGAAGTGAATTATGAAACTTATAATTGTTTATGTTAATGTTTGGCAAAACAAGTTTTGGGCCTAGCAAGTTTAACCGGTGCTTTTTTTTAACTAAAGATATTCTCTGTTCTCCAAATTTCAAATGCTCAATTGCAGAGTTCCATATCAAGAATGATGGCAGAGAGGAGGAATTTCATTACTAACAACGGAGATAGATACAAACCTAAACAGCTTTCTGATCATTCCAATAGCATCTTCATCGTCAGATTCATCTAATCTCCTCTTCATAGGTTTCTTTTTCAACCGATCATCATGACTGTCCTGTGGTGGTGGGATTTTCTTAGGAGGCTTCATCAGTTGAAAGCTTAATGTTAGAAAGAAAGTCACAAATAGAAATGTAAATCTCAAGAGAAATATAAAGAAACATTAATAACAATAATAAAACCTGAGATTTTGAGGAAGGCAATGGCTTGCTAGCCGTCGGTTTTCCATTATTCAAGCTCTGACTCGGGCTTCTCTGTTCAGGATAATGATTTCTTTGAGCAGAAGAATGATGTACAGCTGATGTAACCTTTGCCGGAGGTCTGATTGTACCCGGATGTCTGCTTGTACCCAGAGACTGAGCAGGTATTTTGGACGGTAATGGTTTACGTTCTACAGGTCGACCAGAACCACTCCCGCCATTAGCAATTTTCTTAGGCTCAGCTGTAGCTAGTTTTGATCTGATCAATGAAGAACTCTTTACTGGACCTACTTCAGACTGAGACTGTAAACTTTTAGTAGCAGGATTCTTCAGAACATGGCCATTGGGAACCGGCCTTGCAGGCTTGGCCATCTGTGGCTTTCTACTTGCTGGTGGTTGAGCTTGACGACCATCTTCCAAAATGAGCAGAATCCTGTATAAGTATTCTCTATGAAAAAACCAAATTCGATTAAAAAACTAGATATCAATATCAAGATGCTGAACCAACCAGAGTTCAGAAATGGAGGTTTTTGAGGAGGTTGCGCGCTCTTCCTTAGTATCAAGGAAGGTCAGCATCATCTGAGCAGCTAGAATGAAGTAATCCCCGGGCAATGCCTTTCAGTGTCTGTACTTTCTTTTTAACCTTCACAGAAGAAAGGTTTCATTAGTCAAAATAATATTCCCAGAATTCCAGCTAGATATTCCAACTATCAGCAGAGAAAAACTACATATTCTCAATGTGCTAATACCTCATTGATAACTTTAGGTTGCTGTTTATGTACACTTGTTTTTTTATCTGAAGATGAGTAAGCACCCTTTACATTCTGCAGGAAAGAGTAGCAAATTAAAAATGCCAGTTGAAAGCTAGAAGAGTAGGGAAATGTTGGCAAGTTGGTACGTACACCAGAGGATGGATTTGTATTCCTAGATGTAATATGCTCGGTCTCTCGTATTGAACGGCGCTCCTCAATAACTCGTGAAGCGATAACCGGCCGAGAAGGGCCAAAGAAAGAGCCAAAACTGCAAGAAGAGATGGACTAAAATTAATCATTAAAACACTTATGGTAACAAATTGCAGAGCAAAGTACAGCAACAGAAGTTGTATTAATCAAGTACTGACCAATTAACAGTGTCATTACACAATGTACATTCCTCAGATATATTTATACTACCAATGGGAGAGAAAGAATATCTGATGTTATCTCAACAGGTACATGCTTAGATGTCGAGAACGTGGGACACCATAGCGAACCCCAACCCGAACCCCGACCCGGATTCAATCATCCGTAAACCCGGGTTCAGACATTACACAATGTACATTCCTCAGATATATTTATACTACCAAGGGGGAAAGAAAGAATGCTTGATGTTATCTCATGAGCTACATGTTTAGATGTCGAGAACGTGGGACACCATAGCAAAAACCGACCCGGGATCAATCATCCCAAAACGCGGTACACTAGCGAATTGGGTCGTGCTCCAACGAGACCCGATTCAACAACACTGGAGACCCGATTTAGAATTCAAATTAAGTTAATATTTTTTAAAAATAACCATTTTCGGAAAAATAAACTACAAAAGTTGCACCTTAATTGCAACTTGGGACTTATTTTTACCATTTTTGATCCTTGAATTTAACCTTTTAAAAAAATTTAAATTAAAGCACTCAAATTCCTACCAAACCTAAAGCGTATCACGTTCTCTAGTGTACCATATAAGTGCACCATCCCCATACCCAATCCAAATAAGTGGCATATCACGCTCCCCCATTCCCGTTCTGGCATTCCATGAAATGGAAAGAACCGGGTTCCATGCAACTATGGGTACGTGCATAAGGTTATAATAAGAACAACTAATTAGAAGTTGGAACTTGGTATTAACTGAAGATGGAACTTAGTGAGAACAGGCAATCAACAATAAATTAAGGGAAATAATAAATAATTAATCAACAACTTTTTTATAAATCAAAGTTATTTGGAAGGTCAAATGTTTTTATTACCCCCCCCCCCCCAAAAAAAAAACAACTTTTTTATAAATCAAAGTTATTTGGAAGGTCAAATGTTTTTATTACCCCCCCCCCCCCCCCCCCCAAAAAAAAAAAAATGCATGTGTGGGGAACAGGTAGTCAAATCTAGCAGCCATGCTTAGATATGCAAATCAATATGCAAAGTCATCTATCATGTTTCCTCTCACACCTACATCCTAAACCTAGCAATATCATCTTGATCAATCCTTTACAATAAAACTAATTTTGTGCTTTCTGATTATATTTAAATACTTTGACAGAATCCTGAGTCTAATATATTTCTTTCTAAAAACTTATTGGAAATTGATCATTTTCTCTATCATATTACCCTAAAATCCATAAATGCAGGCTTCCTTTTGAACAGCGCACTCACATTGATGATCTCATCTTAATAGAGGTCCTCTTACAAGTCCCTAAAGGAAATTTCTCATTAACTCTGCTCATTGCTTCTCTTTTTCTTCCATTAGTACATCGTGCATACTTCTATCCAGCAGTGAGGTTCAGCATACAAGTTATACCTCAACATGGATTTAGAGAATTGAATTTTCCACTAAAAGCATAAGTCTGTCGTGTCAACATAGTTGTTCCCACATTATAATCTATTACTCAATTCCAGCTTAAGATTTCTCAACAGAAATTTTATATATATTCATAAATAAGCTCCAACCCAAGAAACCTTCTCGATGGAAGGCAGAGTTATAGGACACGACATAACAAACAAGTATAGTTGCCAGGAACCATACAGAAACCATGTTATATCACATTTGGCTCCTAATATAGTGATATTTCCACCACACAAATTGACCAAAAATTTCATTTTACTTTTACAAGAAATCAGACTGCACCTAATTAAGTTCTGCAATCCAGACAACAAAAAACTGAATCATAACTATTGCATCAAATGGTATTTTAATTAGCCAACCATCAGATAAAATTAAAACAGTAACCTTATTCAATACTTTATGGCCATGTTTGTTTTTTGGATAGTGATGGTATTATTTTAAAACAGTCTTGACCCACCTAATTAACCCCTGTTTGTTTTTCTTATCCGGCCAGACTATTTTTAAGGAGGGGACTAGCTAATACGCAATAGGGGGACTGAACTAAACCCATCCACACCCCACCTTTACAATCAAGGCACTAATCACAGGGGGGACTAAGATTTTCTGACAAAAATGAGGATTTTCTGACAAAAATGACCGTACACTTTTAATTCCACAGTTTTTTCCTACTATTTTTTTCTGTTCACAGCTATTATTCTAACGGGTTGTTGCCTGACACGTTTTTCCGCAGCCTTTCTCCTCGCGGATTTTTCTCCAGAATTTTTTTCCCCGTGTCTTGGCTATCCGCAAAAAGAATGAAAGGAAAGGCCTCGTTGCTTTCCAACTATATTGGTGCTATTGCAATGTCAATGCCAAATGAACAAGCACTTGTCATGGACTCATTTAGATGGTTCTGGATATATATATATATAAAGGAAAAAAAATAAATCAACATAAAATGGTTCATTGTGTTCATAATAATATAATAAGAATCAGATTATACATAAAAAAGAGCAAATTCTTCTTATCTAACGGTTGAAATTAACGAGAGCTTTCAATTAGCTCTAATATCTAAATTTCATGTTTAAATAGATGCTTGAGTTTTTTACTAGTGTGTTCAGTTAAAGAATAGGATTGTTTATTGTATCATGAAAGGTATGCGGTGGTGTGTCTATCTCTCAGACAAGATCATGCCCAAAGTTTGAATTTTTTTTTCGCAACAGACATTAACACAATATTAGCTGACTTGAGGGTAAAAGGTCATTTTGCTTATGATATTAGTCCGAATGGCCATAAGTCCCCTAAAAACAAACACTAATTTGGACTAATTTAAGTCAGTCCGAATGTTAGTCCATGCAAAAAAACATTAAAATGGACTAAAATAGTCTCAGCATAATACAATCCCAGTATTATAGTCCGGGGAATACGGTAGCCCTAGTCCGGGGATAAAACAAACATGAAATATATAGTAAATAAGTTAATAAACTCACTTATCCTTTGGTGCTGTTCTTTTCTTCTCCTGCAAGAGGCTTCGATGTCCCAAATGACCAGCAGTTTCTTTCTTCAATTTCTGCCTGAACTTTTCTTTGAGCTCCTCCCTCAATTTCAGAAATTCCTGTTGTTCTTGGTTCGGTGGTTCCTCCTCTTCTTCCTCTTCCTCCTCCTGTTCCTCTCCAGAAGCATACTCTTCATATTCATCATAATCTTCGTACTCGTCCTCATTTCTCTGATGAAAACCACGAGAAAAATGACAGACGAAAGGTAATAACTTATAACAATCTGTAAGTGTTTATTGAAGTTGACTACAAACTTAACAGCTTACCAATCTATAATGGCTTGACATTACTCTCCTGTGATCTTAAAAAGTCAGCAATCTGAAAAATAACCAATCTACTCACCAAGAGAACCCTGTAAAAGCCCCTAAAAATTAAAGGAATAATAATAACACAGTAAGTTATCCAATGTGGACTTCTTCAATTAGCAATAAATATTTTAATAGCAATAGATGAAAATAAAATAAAATTTTAAAAAAATCGTTTTCAATTGCTTAAAAATCAAAACAGAATAAAAATACAAAATTTCACACTGAATCAAGACCCAAATATCTTGATTTCCCATCATAAAATCAAAGGTCATGAACAAAAATTACTTTTTTGATTTTTTCTAAAGAAAATCAAATTCCTAGAAATATAATTAAAAGAAACCCGATTTATGAAATTAACAGATCGATAAGCAAATCCACCCAATTATGTACCAAACCCCCATAAAAATTCATTATTCATAAAAAATCATTAAAAATTTTAGACGATCAGCCAGATCTAGGGCATCTTAACGAACATCATATACATCCGAAATAATCATTGCGACAAACAATTACATAAAAAGAATAAAGAGCCACCAAATCTAGGGTTCGTAATTCGTGAGATGAGATCGATCAACCAAATTTTAACGAATCTAGCATGAAATTAAACATAAAAAAATACCAAAAATAGGGGGAAATTCGTACCTGAGAGAGATCGATTGATGGAAATCGAGGCTGGAACTGATCGACTCTATATTATATATATAGAGAGAGAAAAATATTAGAAGAAAAAGGGCAAATTTTTGTTTCTAAATACAAAAGGACGAGATGAACCAAAAGAAGAAAGCTTGGAGGCGTTCGAGAGCATTCTATACCTTATTCTCTTCCGGGTCGGATTTAGACTTGAAATGGGTTAGATATCCACTAACCCTAAACCTCTATTGATTCGGACTCGGGTTTGCTACCTCCATATATAACTGGCTCCGGCATTAAATAATTTTAATTTCCGTTTCTTTCACTCTTTTCCCCTCCCCTTTCTAAGCACTTAATACCTTACAGTCTCCTCAAAATTCATATTTTAATAATTTCTGTAAGATAAACGTGAGATTTTCAACTAAACTTTTTCATATGTCATTTACATCCTAATTTTAGAACTTTTTAGTTCTTACTATTTGTTAAATTCATTATTAAACCACACATATTCTATTTCAAAGTTTG